TAATATATAACATATTATAACTGAAATGTAGACTAGTATTTTACAAAATACTAGTCCACTAAAACACAGCCAAGACAGGTCACTTTGTAAATGCTAGTTTTATATGTGGTGTTAGCCAGGCATGGCTGAAAGGCCAATATAATAAAAATAATAAATATATATAAATGTATAATGTTATGAGATTTAAGCTAGTTAGACTAAACATTTGTGTTTGAGTTATAATATGTAATCATTCTAGAATGAAAAAAGCATGATTTATATTTATTTCCTAATTTTTTATGGTGTTTGAGGTCAGTCAAATCGACCCAACCCATATAGAGATACAGTAGCGAACATAACAAATAAATTATAGTTTTTCTAAAAAAAAATTTGATAATTAGCTGGACATTATAAAAAATTTGCATGTGAAATTTTAAAATGTTCTGATGTATAAAAGTATTTTTAATCTTAAAATTAAAATCACTTTGCATGTTGGATAGTCAACATTTGAAAAGAAAAAAGGCACAATAAATCCTTACTTAAGAGATCTTAAAACTTAATAAAATAAATCTGACACTGTGCATACGAAAGCCTTGTAATGTTTACTAATAATCTGCAAAATTTTGTTAAGGTATGCATACATTATCAAAAATCAAAGTATAATTATTCTCATGAATACTTTCATGGTTACAAGCTGGGTGGATCCCATCTAACCTATAATGGTAGGGTTAATGAATGGAATAAAAAATTATAACTTGATTTTCTTTCCGAGATCACAAAATCTGGATACAAAGCCACAAAATAAACTGTTTAGCAAAGTATATCAATATTCACTGACAATAAAGGGTATCATAGTAATTTATCTCGGACATAGCAACCCTAAAAGTTGCTCTGTCAAAGTTGTTTAATGGGGTTTCATTGGTTACAAGCCATTACTATGGAGGATTTGTTAAAATTCAGCATTTACAGATGCCAAGGTCTTCATGAAACATTAAATTTATGATAATGTATAAAACAAACCACTAGTATTTACATGTTCCTTAAGTACAGTATATTTGATACTTTGATATTTACTTATTATAATATATACTTTTATTATGAGGATTATTTAACTTGTTAGCTATTTATATGGATTTACGACCAACCTAAATCTACTGAGCTGGTTGACCCTCATGTATGTAATTAGCTATGCTGATTACTAGGTCTGATATATATAATAAACTTGCTTTACTTAGAGATCCATAAAAATCAGAGCAAATTAAGTTTAAATTTAAGTTACTGTTGGAATACAAAAGTTAAATTAATTTTGAAGAGAAGATTTCCACTTTTCATTTTAACACAGCCAAATTTCAACTGATTTTATAATACTGAAAATGTTGCTGTACTTACAGTAATCTATAAGCATTGCAGTTAGAACATTTACTATTTCTGATAGTAACTCATGAAATGTGTAAAGAAATTGAAATCAAATCAAGTGAGTTTAATAATACATGTTAACTATCACACATCCCACCCTAGTATCTGTCAAATATCATAGTACCTTTTTTTTTACATAAAATTCATTAAATTTAAGCAACAATAAATTTCAAGCAAGATACTTATTAGCCCGAAATATCTGATAATAACCAAATGAGAATATCTATAGTTACATTATGATTAATTCTACAAAAACAAATCCTTCTTATTTATTACACGCACAAATAACCATATTCATAAATTTAAAGTGAAAACAATAACACAAGGAACTACTTACCTTCGTTTACATTGTTAGTTCCAATTACTGATGATATTATTTTTAATATATGGTGGAGATTTTGGAACACCTGGTATAAACAGAAACAAGGTTAATTAATAATAATAATATACTGAATCAATTATGTTCAAGTATATATTTGTCTATAAAACTGCATATAACCATACATACACTCATATTTTTACCAATAATTATAGCCCATTCAATTTATTTTTCTTATGTTCACCTTAAGTTATTGTATAAAACATCTTTATAATTTTTCAGTGAACCATTTAGAGTAATTGACATATTGATAATGTACAGGTCACAACCTTTCTTTTTGTGTATATAAAATATAAATAATTTTAGGATAATACAAAATCATTTTGGATAAAAAAAAATCAGATGAATCATAAAATAAGAAGCTTGAATGCTTTCAAATGGAGTGAAAAAAGGCCTGCCTTCTAAAAGTAAAGGAGTTTCTTATTTTATGAACATAAGTTTCATATCACAAAAATGTATAATGTAGAGACTATGTATAATATCATCCCCAAATTAAAAAACAAAAGCTTAATGTTACTAAAACCCGCAATAACCTATTAGAAAATTGAAAAGTCTCTTATTTTATATTCTATATATAAGATATTGCTCATGTAATAAATCAAACACAGTGGCACCCCACCTACCCCTTTCCATTTTTGGAAACACTCCCTTATATACACTTACTTCTATATATTACATAAATAACCAATCAGAAGCTCAGAATGTCCCCCTAGTGGCTTTCTCAGCCATTTTAATGGGCTTGGTGCCACTTCTTTCTTTTGAAACAATATTTCAACAAAGTAGGGTGTGTCTTTAGTCTGCTCGAAAGTTCATACCTTTTAGACTAAGATACATCGTACTTACTAAGCTTGATAAATTATAGTGGAATTCTATGGTATTAATATAGAAATTTATGATTTTTTAGTTATTCAAATGTATATATAAAACCTAAAAAAATATTTTGTTTCATATCCTCCATGTGCAAATTTTTTAAAGGCTTAGCATCCTACATCAAGCTGCAACCGAGTACAAAGGTCATAACTAGAAGAGATAATTGTTTGTTTTACTTCTTTAGTTACTGTTCTCTGTTTAAGAAAATAAATTTAAGAACTTATTTACAAATAGCAATAATCTATGTACATATATAATGTATAATAATTGAAATGTGACTGTATTTTACAAAATACTAGTCTACTAACACAAAGCCAAGAAAAAGTTACTTTGTACAGACCAAAGGTCAGTTTTATATTATTTGATACAATAACATGTGTGCACATGAGCTGCATCATTGTAACTTCTGTATTGTTAGCCAGACACAGCTGAAAGGTCAATATAATAAAAATAATAAATATATATAAATGTATAATGTTATGTGATTTAAGTTATTTAGTCTAAACATTTATGTTTTCGTGTTATAATGTGTTCATTCTAGAATGAAAGAGGCATAATTTATATTTATTTCCTAATTTTTTATGGTAGTTGCAAGTTCGGTCAAATTTACCAAACCCATACAGAGATTAATTACTGAAAATAACAGATAAAATGTAAAGTTTTTTCTTAAGAAATGTTTGATAACTATCCAGATATTATTAAGATTTTGCATGTGCAATTTTAAGATTTTCTGATGAATAAAAGTATTTATAATCTTAAAATGAAAATTACTTTACATGATAGATAGACAACATGCAAAAAGAAGAAAAAAAAAAAAGACATGAGAAAAACATTGCTTTACAAACCTTAAGACTTAGTAAAAAAATTTATATTTTTGCATATGAAAGCATTGTAATGTGTACTCATAATCTGCCAAATTTCGTTAACATTCGCTTACTAATTTAAGTTATAGCATGAAAACTAAAACAAGCACAAAATGGTAACGAGGTCAGTCCTAGGGACCAAGCCTGTACATAAAGAGTTAATAGGAGTGTCATGAAAACTTCATCAAATGAAGAATAATTAAGAACATTAAAAAATAAACTACAAAAAAATATTGCATGTGACAGTAGGAGTGTCACATAAACCAAAGTAAGTGGGTTAGGGTGTCACGTAAACCAAAGAAAGTGGGTTAGGGTGTCACGTAAACCAAAGTAAGTGGGTTAGGGTGTCACGTAAACCAAAGAAAGTGGGTTAGGGTGTCACGTAAACCAAAGTAAGTGGGTTAGGGTGTCACGTAAACCAAAGTTAAGTGGGTTAAGGTGTCATCAGTGAAAAAATTTGGGAACCACTAATCTAGTACTTCGGATCATATTAAAAGAACTTAACCCTTATATGCTTCTTATTTCTTGATAACAAAATTGTATTACACATTTCTGAATGGACCATCTAAGACCAAAACTTATAAGGAAAATGTGTATTTTCAGAAAGGGGTGAGGAACTCAGCAAATAAGAGAGAAATCATCCCACATTACCTCAGGATATGCATGTTACATCATAACTAAAACATTTGGAAGACCTTATTTGTTAAGTTTAAATAGAAGGCCTTCAAGTAAATTATAAAACTGAGTCAAACATCAAACAGCTGGGAACAAGAAAGAACAAAGAACACGCTCGTGTTTTAGAGGTTTCAGATGGCAAGTGTTTACATTTTTTTAAATATTTGAAATTATTAATGAAATATGTTGAAACTTAGGTTTTTACACGAGTTGAAGCTTAAAAAAAGGTCCACCAAAATGTTCACGTTAGCGTTTTCCATACTGCAGTTGTCAATAAAAGAAATAATTTAATTATTAATTTTTAATTCTCATCACCATACTTGCATATTTTAGTGAAGCCCAGTCTATAATTTGGTTCACCGAGTTTAAACTAGTTGTGGTTAATATCACTAACATTCAACTATCAAATAGTTTGCGTTTATGTTGTCATTTTTGAAAAATCACTTGAATTCTAAATTCTCTAATCCTTTCAACATGGGCTGATGCAGTTTGCATCAGTTCAACTGGGGAAGGATATTTATGCAAAAAACATATATTAACTCTGAGCATTCCCCACAAAACCTCAAGATTTTGTTAAAGTTTAAGTATTTTGTACACAAAGAATGACATTATTTTAATTACGTTTTTCTAATAAAAATGGTATTTATCTATTGTAGTTATTTGCACTCAAACTATGAATAGTTCCAGTGCAAAGTGATTTTAATTTTAAGTATAAAAATACTTTTCTTCATCTTATAGTTTTTCATATTTCATTTGCATAACCTCTAGAACCTCCTAAATGAATATCAAAAGTTTTGGAGGTAAATGTTT